GGTTTTTGTTTCCCCCCCCCCCCCCTTTGCCTCCCTTCCACTGAAAAAAAAACTGAAATGACGCCCCCGATGGGCATAAACTATAATTATAATACCGGTACCGTGAAATGGGGTGACTTTGCCTATTAAATACTTTATTGAGAAAGTTGTTTTTCATGATTTTCTAGGGTTCTTTCCCCTTATTTTTTTTTTTTACTTCCTAATGAAAGCGGAGATGTTGCTTTATCTTGTTTCGCTTTCCTTACCATGCCTAACAATAATATTTGGCTGTTTAAGCTCTTAGACCCAGGAAATCGATATTTTGCTGATTTAGGTGAGTTTAAACTTTCATTTTAAATTTTAAGGTATTATAATTTATTTCCCTATGCATTTAATGTGTAAAATTTCAGTGATAAAAAGGTTCATTACTTTGATAGTTAAGTTAAAGTTTAATAAATCGTTATTGCTTTTCTTTCACAGCAAGTGGCAAAGTCACCCCATGGACTGATACAATGATTTTTGTATTGATTTCTCTATTTGTTCTTGTTTTTCCAGATAATAATGCCATGACTTATCAAGATAACTCCTATTAACAGAAGCTATATTAAAGACATTCAGCTTAATGATAAGTGTGAATTGTAAAAGATAATCTACTAACCAGGCCTATAGAAGTCATCTATAAGTGAAAGACACCATTGATTTAATAACTCTTTGAACTTAGTAAATGTTACTGTAGCTACCAGAAAACAACTGGAGGGCAAGCTCTTTGCCAGATGAATTAAAGTCAACTTAGTAAAGCACCTAAAGACATTATCAGATTTTGGAATGCCTCAACTAGAAATAGTAGAAACAATTTACATTTTGGCCTAAATTTTTTTATTATGGACCAATCTTGATGACGGCGAACTTGCGGTGAAACGATTCCAGGATAAGAATCTTCGAGATGACTTGGTGAATGGATTGTGTACAACAAGATGAGGATGTTATGTGCCAAAGTTATAAGCTGAGATAATAGGAAGGACATTACAATTACAGTTACAGTCTACTGTGACAAATTCACAAATTAAAGCATTCATTACATGGAGCAAATGCGAAAACCTATGACGAAGGTTTGCCTCGAAAGGATAGATCACTGAGAATCATTTTTTATGTGAACTGGTTTTGATATTTTCTTCCAACCTTTCATTATAATAAAATATTATTATTAAACATTAAATACAGAAAAGAAAATAACTTATTTGCTTGCTTTTTTAATTTCTACATGCATTGTGCTGTCTTTCACTTTCAAAGGGCAAAGTCACGTCATTTTTCCTTAAGTTGAAAAATCTCAAAAAACCTTAATTATCAACTTAACCTCATCAAACTATGACTTAATTCAGCTATAACAACAATGTGCAGGTATTCACTCTGTACATTAGCCCCTTTGTGTTAGTTTTTAGATCAGTTAACATGTTGAAATTTATGCTTAAAGGTCAAAAGTAGGCAAAGTCATCCCGTTTCACGGTAGCTGATTCATCATTTTGATCTCGTGGAACTGATACACCAGACTAGTCAACAACCTCAAGTTAGACGCACAATACATGACTCTTATATTTATATTGGTAAAAGCCTAAACGTATATGACTATTTACACTCATTAAATTGTTTAACTAACTTTAACAGTCAATTTTTAAGATTAAAATTTTAATAGAAAAAACATGATTGTTGACGTCAAATAATCTAAACCTCCTTCCCCCCCCCCTTGTCAACAACCTTCAAACATTTCCACCCCCTCCCCTATGTTGTTGACGTACCGGTACCGGTAATTAATGGACGCCCCCCCCCCTTTGGGACCGTATTGTAATGGAAGTATTATAAAATTTAAAAGCACATTTAGTTTAGACAGAAAAAAATTAATCTGAAGTATAAGTATAAGTTATGCTATAAATTACTATAAAGGTAACTTTTTTGAAAGCTGATGGTTTCTTTGGCCCATGGTCCTGTATTTATTCATTTGTGTAAGACAAATATATACAAATCTTTTGTAACATAAAGTTTGAATAGCTCCATTGTTACGGTATTGTGTTCACACCGGGGAGCTGTATGTCTTGCAGGCAATGATTATTTCAGAAATTTCCCCGGAGGAGGGGGGGGGGCACTTCAGATTTATCGAGGGGGTGGGGGCCAGTGCCAGTTGATTTATTTTTAGTTAAGCAGTGATAAATTTTAAGGCAAATACATCTTAATGTACGGCACATCAATAAAACTACTAGTAGTAGGCTACTTATTAAAAGAGTCAGTTATTAAATTTCACTGAAAAATCTAAGTACCGCACTTTTAATAGAAATGATCTATCCCTTCCTGTGGCACTACAATAAATCGGGTCTTTGGTCATGCTAAGCATACCGTACTAGTACTATGGAATAACTCGTGATTCACATTTCACTTTAATAATAAACATTTTGTCGAGTTTTAAACCTTGTCAGATATGAGGTTACCCGTTCTGTACAGTCTCTATAGGTAGGCCCCTAATAACTTTTCTTTGTATTTCATTTATACAGCACCCAATGGTACTAGTTGCGTAAACGATATCTCCAGTGTGAGTGTGTTGTGTTATTTTTGTTTCACCCTACGTGCCATATTTTTAAAAATCCTTTATATTGTGAACTTCGCTTTTTGCTCGTGGGTGGCGGGCGAAATCTTCGGACGGCTAACTGACCAACTTCACGTCAACATATCGATCTCAAACTTGGCAACCCCCAAAGATCAATTCCCGATGGCAGGGCTGAATGAGATTGTTTTACCAGTACCGGTACACAAACAGCGCAAGTGCATTTGAGGAGTAATGTTTTTGTTTTCTGAAATAGTTTGTGAAATAAAAATTGCGATTTATTAGAATATTAAAGGGCGTGAAAGAATGTGCGTTTGTGAGTGCGAGACTTTGGGGGTGGGGGGCACTATAAAGGGTGTTAATGCTTGTATTTACCTATTGTCAAATATTAATTCCCCCCCCCCCCATATTGCTCGAAATTACATTTTAAAAATAATTTAGGTATACGAAAACTTTGGTTGATTGGGGGTGGGGGGCACTATTAAGGGTGTTAATGCTGGTATTTACCTATTGTCAAATATTAATTCCCCCCCCCCCATATTGCTCGAAATTACATTTTAAAAATAATTTAGGTATACGAAAACTTTGGTTGTTTAATTTACATATAGATCTAATATCCGTTGGTAGGTCTGTGCTAAATGTAATTTTCAAACTCATTTAAAAAAAAAAAAATTAGTCTATATTTCAGACTATTTTAAAATATTAATTGATTTTTTGCAAAAATAAAAGTAGTTATTACGTCAGAAATATTATAGTGCAAAAGGAAAACGTGAAAAAAACAATTTATTATCTCAGAATATAGCATGTAATTGGATGTATTTATATTAATTCATAATAAATTATTTATTGCGGTAAAATGTATCCCCTCGATAACAGGGACCCAATGGGTCTGGATCACACCGGTAACAGGATCAAATCGGGAACGGGATAACACCAGGGAACGGGATAACATCAGGGAACGGGATCCCATCAGGGCAACGGGATCCCATCAGGGCAACGGGATCCCACCGGGATAGGGTTCCAAACAAAAAAGCACAACAAAATGGGGAGATCGTTTACGCTACCAACTATGAACTATGAACCACTGGGAGTGGGAGCTGTAGAAATCAAATAAAAGGAAACGATAGTGCTAGTACAATTAAGTGTCAGTTAGTCCAACTATTACTAATTACTCATCAGCATCATCGTGTCCCTTAGTCTTTGGACCGTTGGGGCGCCACAGATGACATGTGAACTATCCTCCTCGATTCGTCTCTGTCTTCTGCACGTCTCACAGCATCCCCTAGTTTTAGTCCCATCCACTCTTTGATGTTGTCTTTCCATCTTTTTCTTTGTCTTCCTCTTCTCATCCCTCCTCTTGTGGTGCCCTGCAATATTTCTTTGGCAAGCGCTTGTTTCATTGTCACGTGGCCATACGGCTGACCAGTAGCATATTTTCCACCTCCGTCCCGGTCAAAGACGGTAGGCACGGCCCTTGGTAACCCGGGCGACGGCCGAGCCGGTATGGATTGTGACTCTGTTCTCATGTACATGTAGTGTATCTAGGGTAGTTGTCGCATGGTGGCGTCCATCCCTCTCCATGCCTTACCACAGCCGAAGTCCTCCAACTAGGTGGTTCGCCGTGGTCACGAACACGTGGCCGTTCAGGTTCGTCTAGGAACTCTTGCGCCCTGGCCGGTAACCTACATCAGGGAGGTTTTACACCCAGTGGTGTCATGTTAACACCACCCCATCACAGGGTTTATTTAGTCCGCCAGCTGAGGCAGTTTTCCAGGGTATGGCGCTTGGAGCCACATGTGAGAGATTTAGAGGATGGGTGAGGACCAGTGATGCTACCCACCCGAGGGTGCACCTCTATATACTCAGAACCCCCTATGCTCCATTTTTTACCAAATACAGCCTGGAGTCAATTTAATAAAGAATACACATACGTCTTACGTTAACATGCGAAAATCGGAAATTCGATGAGAAATAATAGACGCACCCAAACTGCACTTTTACCGTCTTTAAAATAATAATTTCAGGCTTTTATATTTCCCAAATTGTCTTTTAATTTATGCTGATAACCAACTGATTTTTTTTCCAACTCTTGTGCAATTTACTGTGATATGTGTGGGCATGGGCGCCCGCAGGTAGGGGCAAGGGGGGCACTTGCCCCCCCCTGGATTGATTGGATAAAAATTTTTAGACAAAAATAGACAAAAAATGTATTAAAGTAAAGAGAAAATAAAGAGAAAGTAACTAAGCTGATGTTTTGTCCGTTCGTTCACCATCCAACAACATCACGAGCCAGCCATAGCAGTTATACCCTAAAAAATCCAACAACATCACGAGCCAGCCAGCTACGTGTGATGCATATGCCTGCAATTTGTCCTTCATTTCACAAACCTTTAAGTTAATTAAAACTATATTAAAACATTACTACAAATTATTGCCCCCCCCCCCCCCCTGGAAAGTTAATCGATTTTTTACCCCCCCCCTAGAAAGTTTTCTGCGGGCGCCCATGTGTGTGGGCAACTGTCGGTGTACACAGTCTTCATGCCCGTAGTTACGCCTGCGATTATCATGTGCGTGTTTGTAACATGCTCATTTGTCACGGAACCACTTGAGCTAAGCCACAGAACTAAATAGAAGTAGAAAACGCACTAGTCCCTAGACGTCTTATTCCTAGTCTAGTGACTGGTGGGCATCTTGTTCTTGTGGCACCATGTTCTAGCTCAATAGGTCGAGCCGCCCCTGAGTAGGCCTATATGAGTATGACTATATGTAACTTAATTCGTTAAATTGATACGGTCAGGAATGTTTTCAAACTTTATTTTCTTCAGTATTTAACCATTTAAGTTATTTTGTGTAATAATATTTGGGACATTTTTTGTGAGGGGGTGGGGTGGTGTGGTGGTTGCTTTTCAACTTAATTATTCACAATCGAAATATATTTAAAAAAATGCTCGTTAGAAAACTGAACTGTTTCACGAATTTCATATTTATATCCCATTTAATTTAAACATTTTTTATACAAAATTTTCAAGTGGTAGATACGGTACAATTACAATCCACTGAGCCGCTATTATAAAAAAAACAAAAAAAAACGAAACACCAAAACAAAACAAAAAACAGCAGATTTCCGGAAGTAAACAAAGAGCCCTAAGTCGGAATTTACTTAACTAACTCAACTTGTTAAAAATAATGTAGTCGTAGATCTACTAGATTTAGCCGGCTCTAATTTTACAAAGTGTATCAGTGAATATCTCTTTAAAAGTCTTTAAGGTATACTTCTTTTTTTTTCTGTCACGTTATAGTGTAATAATTGATTTTAGTGCAATAAATTAAAAACTCCCCATTTGCAGACTACCGTGCCGTATTGCGGTCTTAGTCTTAGGCCTAGGCCTATTTGAATTTGATTTGCCTTCTTCGCCTTCACGTTTTTACTATGCTGCCTTGCTTTACCTTATGTTATGATATATAATATATAATAATCATGTAAAATATAAGACCTATGGAGCTAAAACTACAAATACATTTGCAATTAAATAGATTGCCATCAATTAATTTGAGTCAGTATGATGTTTTAATTAATTTGTTTTCCAATATTAGTAATTAGTATTAGTAATTAGTAAGTAATAGTATGATTGTAGGCTACTTAACTTTCCTTGGTTTTATGGCTTTAAAGCGATTTAAAAATAAAAGTATTTAAGGATTCAGATTCACTAGATCAACAAGTTTTTTTAAAATTGAATTCAGCTGATGTTTAGACTAGACAGAATTTTTAACTTTTTCCCAATCTCAGGCTAAATGTAAAAGTAAAAGCAATATAATATATTATATACAAGAAGCAATACATAGATTATAGATACACATAAGTAAGGTAAGCTAATTATAGTAAAATTAATGTGAAATTTATAGGTAATCTTGGCCTACGTTAGACATTTTTAACAATTAAACTTTTTTTAATTACTGCATTCAGTCATTATTTTGATATCTTGTGGCTTGTGGGATCTGTCTAGTTGGAACCATTTAATGAAACGAAAGATTCAGGAAAGTCATAGACATTAGTTTGATTCTACACTTAATAGAAACAGTGATTCTATATATCTTACCAAATTGTCAATGAGTTGCGCCAGTGCTCCTGCACTGTGTAGTCGCAGTACATTCCAGGGGGTCATCCATAAATCATGTCCTTGTCTAGGAATAGGTTGAAATTCAATAATGTCTATCCAATTTTCTGTTTATAATGTAATTTCATAAATATATTTTTTTTCCATGACAGCATCGTTAGCCTTGCACACAAATTTCAACCTATTCCTAGACAAGGACATGATTTATGGATGACCCCCTGGAATGTACTGAGACTACACAGTACAGGAGCATTGGCGCAGCTCAATAGAATAGAGTCTGGGGATACCCCCTACAGCTCCCAGGGTAGCTACCTTTGTTTTTTTTGGTTCCTAGCCTTCTTACTGACAGAATAACAGCAATTGCTGATTTTGGTCTGCCCTAGATATTTTCCTCCCAGTCCCCGCAATAACTGAAGGGCATTCCCTGTCTTCTGTTCACACTAGTTCTGATGACTGCACTTATGAGCTTATTAACATCAATTTTTTAAGGAACAAGTTGGTTTTCCATAAACCAACAATATAAATATTCCTAAAGTATATTGTAATGCATAACAAGAACTAGATTAATCTTAGAGCCATCCATTAACTTTAATCTGTTGACTTTAACTTATTTATTATTTTAAGGGTCATTCTACTTATATTTCTATATAATTGATGATCGATAAATTAAGGGGTACAAGCAGCAATGTTGGGTACCAGTAGCTGTGTTTAACATTGTTTTGTATCATGTTAAATATTAATTTGCATTTCACTGAAGAGATAATTTATTTGTTTTTAATACTCTTTTAGGAGCGATGTTCAACCAAATGTTACGGCATTGGAGAACACTAGCGCGACTGACTTGTGGCGTTGCCCTTGTCTGCTTTTTGTTATGGGTATACTGGAGGCCAGCTGTTCATGCATATAAATTTGTCTTAAGCGCCGAGTACAGACGGTGTGTTCTTCAAAGTCGAAACTATGAATTAGAGGTATATCAAATTATCTTCAGCTCTGGGTGAATAGCAGGGTGGCTTGATTCAGTTAAGTGGGGCAGCTTATCTTGAGGAGAAAGAAAACGCTGAATAAAAATCCTCAACTCTGAATAAAAAAGCTCAACTCTGAACAACGTTGAGTGGGGTTAAAATATGATGTTTCTACAATAAACAGCTGTGTAATTAGAGCTGCTGGAATAAATCGAGAAATTAATTTTTAAAAGCGCATTGCTCAGCGCTGTAAATTTAATCTACATCAGTCTACATTTAATAATTATACTTTTGGAAATTAGCTTCATTCATTAATAAATACTGGTATTTAAATTTTTTTTTTTAATAATTGGTGCAATGCGCAAAGTTGTCCAAATTTTTTGATTTATTCAATTTGATTTCCAAGAGATTAATGACGTATTTTACTATTCCAGGAAAAGTCGACTCCTCTCTATGTGACGCTTGAATACCATGGTAGATTAGGAAACTGGATGTACAGCTATGCTTCCCTCTTAGGCATTGCTAAAGCTAATGCATACATACCATACCTATCCTCCTCACATCCTCTTGTAAGCTATTTTTCTCTTACCAAAATACAGGCGAATGAAGCAGAATGTCTTCAGAAAGTTTATGATGATCTGCCTTGTACCTACAATCCCGATTTTATGAATTTACCTGCTGGAAATATATCTATTGATGGTTACGTGCAATCTTGGAAATATTTTCGGTTTATGGATGAAGAAATACGAAGAGAATTCAAAATGCATGCACATCTGAAGACTGCCGCAAGAGAGCAATTTTGGGGGTATGTTGGCAAATACCTCAAAGAAGGTCGTTTGATAATCAGCATCCATGTTAGGAGGGGTGATGTATTAAGACCAGAAGCACGAAGACTGGGCTTCACTGCCGCCCCGAAAGCTTACTTTGACAATGCCATGAATTATATGCTCGAAAGGTATCCTCATTCTGTATTCTTTGTGACATCTGATGATATTCATTGGTGCAAAGAAAATATCATACCACCACAGAAAAATGGTATGCCAGTGCCAATAGTGTTTTCGTCAAGCACAACTTCTTGGGAAGATTTCGCCATGTTGACATTGTGCAATCATTCCATCTTGTCAGTAGGAACATTTGGCTGGTGGAGTGCATGGTTAGCCAATGGTCATGTGGTTTACTATAAAGAATTTCCACTTCCAGACACCAAGATTGATTTTGAAACAAATAAAGAAGATTATTTTCCAACTCACTGGGTTGCATTATCAAGCAGTCAAAGCAGTAAACATTTAAATCTATATTTCTATTTTTTGTTTATTCTATTAGAATTTTGTTTAAACCAATTATTTCAATGTTGAACTATTTTTTTTTGGTTATAAACTCTGATTACATTGAAAGCCTTACCATCTTAAAACAAACTATAAGTATTTCGTGACTCAGTCATGGCTGAATTTTCTGTTGAATAATACTTTAAAGTAAAGTGAATATGTTCTGAAATTTCTTTTGTTTGAAATAATCCTTCAGCCCGCTTATTCACAACTTAGTTTATGTATTTTGTTCTACTCAAGCTTTGTACTTTAACTTGATCACAGTCAAACCTTTTAATTCCTTGACATAGAAGCTATCACAGTCAAACATTCTTATTTCCTTGACATAGAAGCCATCACAGTCAAACCTTAAAATTCCTTGACATAGAAGCTATCACAGTCAAACATTCTTACTTCCTTGACACAGAAGCCATAATCACAGCCAAACGTTATTATTTCCTTGACATAGAAGCCATCACCGTCAAATCTTTTACTTGCTTGACATAGAAGCCTTTCAATGTAATCGAATTATGTAAACTTTAACAAAAAAATCTAAATGCTCAAAGTTCCGAGGCCCTTTTAGAAAATTTGTCTATGATGATATTAGGGGGTGGTAATGAATTTTGTTTACAAATGAATTGTTCCCATTTATCGGTAACCTTTACTTGCATTTGTGTTGAGAACGTTTTAAATTTAATTTTCCGGCACTGACAAGACAATATCAAAAACACAATTTGTTAAATTTGTTGTCACTCACGAAGAAAATTGTGCAGAATGTTTTTCTGTTTTCGTAAGTTACACATACATGTTCATGCACTTTATTTTCATTCATAGCTATTCAAGCCATTGTTTTTATAGTGATAGTTCACTTTGTGCTTTTTAATTAAATTTCTAGTATATTTCATGGTGAAGTGTTACTGTATCAAAATATGGCTTATTTCATTTGTTTTAATGTCTGAAGATATCAAAATATGGCTAATTCCATGTGTTTTAATGTCTGAAGATATCAAAATATGGCTTATTCCATGTGTTTTAATGTCTGAAGATATCAAAATATGGCTGATTCCATGTGTTTTTATGTCTGAAGATATCAAAATATGTCTGATTCCATGTGTTTTAATGTCTGAAGATATCAAAATATGGCTTAAACCATGTGTTTAATGTCTGAAGATATCAAAATATGGCTAATTCCATGTGTTTTAATGTCTGAAGATATCAAAATATGGCCTATTCCATGTGTTTTAATGTCTGAAGATATCAAAATATAGCTTAATCCATGTGTTTTAATGTCTGAAGATATCAAAATATGGCCTATTCCATGTGTTTTAATGTCTGAAGATATCAAAATATGGCTTAATCCATGTGTTTTAATGTCTGAAGATATCAAAATATGGCTTATTCCATGTGTTTTAATGTCTGAAGATATCAAAATATGGCTGATTCCATGTGTTTTAATGTCTGAAGATATCAAAATATGGCTTAAACCATGTGTTTAATGTCTGAAGATATCAAAATATGGCTAATTCCATGTGTTTTAATGTCTGAAGATATCAAAATATGGCCTATTCCATGTGTTTTAATGTCTGAAGATATCAAAATATGGCTTAATCCATGTGTTTTAATGTCTAAAGATATCAAAAGATGGCTTAATCCATGTGTTTTAATGTCTGAAGATATCAAAATAGAAAACAAATAGGCTTCAGAGACATATTTTTATCTAGGCAAGTTGCCTTTAACAATATATTACTTTTGAAAAGGCAATATCATGAGATGTAATGTTTTCAGACATAAAATATGAAATTTAATCTTTGAATTAAACAATTTGTAAAATGTGTCTTTTGTGGCATGACTTCTTAAGGCTTGTTATCTAGAGCATTGATTCCCAACATTTTTGACCTATGTAACCCTTTTTTTAAATCAATTTATATGCAGGAGCCCCTTTAGACTACCTTAAATATTACAAGTTTCATCCCATTTTTATTTCCTGGAGCCACTAAAGTTGGAAACCACTGGTCTAGAGAACCTATGGCATTTAAAAAAAATAAAAAATACATTTTTTAATCCCATTCATCTCCATCGTGCCCTGTCCATCTCTCTCTCTCTGTCTCTGTCTTTCTCTCTCTCTCTCTCTCTCCTCATTCTCAGTCAACGTTCAAGGATGAGATCACAGATGAAAGTTGAAGCTTAGTCATAGACGTACTTAAAACCTGGGAAATATAAGGAAATAGTGGAAGAAAGTATGTGGAGGTTTGAAATGAAAAGACAGGACAATAAGACTAAGAGGAGAATGTTCCGGCTAAGAGTAAGAGATTCAGCAGTCATTCATTCATTATGAAAAATATAACCAAGTGGTTCTCATAGTGAGATGGCCCAGGGTTGCGCTGAAAGGCTTGTGGGATTTTGGAGGGCCCCGGGGAAATTTTATCAGGAATAGGCTTTGTGAGTAAATTAAATATTTTTTAACAAAAGATGCACGGTTTTGGTTGTCCATCAAGTTACAGTTACAGAGATAATACATAAATATTCACACAACATGGAAGAAGATATGTTCTTTTATCCGACTTTCAGCCTGGACGCTGCTGTTACAACACTGAATACCGGTAGTATAAACCATTCTCTTCAAATGAGCTGTAGACCTTCATGTTTAATTGATAACTTTCATCATAACATAGATGGCTTGCATGTGTCATGTAATATATCATTGCATTGTAGATTGCAAAATCTTGAAATTGAAAGTTACACTAACAAAAAATTGGTGAAGAACATCCTACAAGTTACCAGCAACAAAACAAAAAACACAAAAAAAAGAATGATACTCTGAGTTCATGGACACAAGGCTAAGGATAAAGATTATGGATGTAGCATTCTAGAAGTCAACAGAGTTTGGATGAGCTGACCTTCCAGATAATCATCCGCAAGACTGCTAGAAACAGATACCGGGTACATTGGGTTTATCAATAATCTCAAGGATTATCTTATTAAACATTATTATATTGATTACTCTTTAAACCCCCCCCCCCCTTTTTTTTTTCTTCTCTCAATTATTTGATAATTCTTAAGAACAAAGAACATTTTCAGCATTAGCTGCTTCATACTTGAGTTCGCTGTCATTAATATAAATAACTTTTACAAGCTGTTTGACAGATTTAGAATAGTGCTCCACAACATTTTTTCTACTCACGGCACACCTAGTCCCTTCACAGATTTCCGCGGCACACCAAAATTAAAACATGACTTAGCTTAATAACTTAATAAACAATCCAGCAAGAACCTTAACTTGGGAAAGCCGATGAATGTCAGGGTGAACTAATAATGAGTTATATCCCATTTCTTCTTACGGTATAAAAAAAATGCGTGAAATGATAACCTTTGTTTTAAATATGTTTATGATGCTCATCCATCCGTTCATCGTTTGCTAGAGTTCATCTAAGATAGTCTTGATCACTCAAAGCTTCTTGGACTGGTGATGCTGACCCATTCGTTCATCGTTTGGAATAGCTCATCTGACATAGTCTTGACCAATCAAAGATTCTCGGACTGGTGATGCTGACCCATTCGTTCATCGTTTGCCATAGCTCATCTGACATAGTCTTGACCAAACAAAGCTTCTTGGACTGGTGATGCTGACCCATTCGTTCATCGTGTGCAATAGTTCATCTGACATAGTCTTGACCAATCAAAGCTTCTCGGACTGGTGATGCTGACCCATTCGTTCATCGTTTGCAATAGTTCATCTGACATAGTCTTGACCAATCAAAGCTTCTCGGACTGGTGATGCTGACCCATTCGTTCATCGTTTGCAATAGTTCATCTGACATAGTCTTGACCAATCAAAGCTTCTCGGACTGGTGATGCTGACCCATTCGTTCATCGTTTGCAATAGTTCATCTGNGTCACAAACTGTCACCCTTTCTTACACCCCCCCCCCCCCCCCTCTAGAGCGTGACGTACTTTATGGACGGCCCCAACGTCACATTGGAGACGGCGTCAGTGGGTCGTCGAGCGCGAGTTCTTAATACACCCCCCACACGGGTCTCCCCGCCGCCAGACCGTGCGAAGCACGCCGGGGACCTCCCCCCCTGGTCTGGGGGACGTCCGGTCGACTGAAAACGCTGCGTTTAAAGCGTTCGCGGTCCACTCTCCTTGGGTCTGAACGGTTTTGCTTCCTCTCTGGGGGAAAGGTGTTGCGTTACCTCCCCACACTGTCAAGGGAGCTGTCGGGTCGGGACGTAAGTGGGGACGAAACGGTCGCCTAGGAGCGGCTTTCTCAGGGCCACATAGCTAGAATCATCGGCAAGGGTTCCGACCACCACCCAGACCTCATATCCATTAACGGCAACAAGTAATCATGTTATTGCGTTCCTCCCGTTGTGTTGAGAATCATGCAGTGGCCGGGTTTTTTTTAGCTTCGGGAGAAGAGACCTCCCTACTAGTCTGCCACGGAGAGGCAAAACCCCATGTGGACGCCTCCAAGTTCCTCGGAGACGCTCCACTTCCACGGACAGGACGTCCTCAACAAAACTTACAATACGATTTGTGCTCGCTTTTGAAAGACTTTCTCTCTACTCGCATTTCCATCTTGTGCGTGGTTGGAGCTTTGTTACACACGTAACATTTGTAAGATTTCTCGTGCAGTGTTAAACCGGTAAACGGCTGAAAAAACTGGGTCGGCGGAGGAGGGTTGGCACTGTCATTTAAATTATCGTTGTGTACTGCGTCTGCTTCGCTGTTGAGTGAACGGGTGGGGGAACTCAGGTCTACTTGCATTTTCATCTTCTTTGTCGTATTTTTTTTGTCTGTTTAGGCCTATACACGTGACATTTTCGCTCAGTTGATCATTTTCTTGCGAAGTGGTCGCCTGAAAGTAGAGATGGGAATCGTACCGAATACACCGAATTTGAACCCTGATGACGACCGAATCCGAATTAAACCAAACCCTGCTGACGACCGAACCCGAATTGAACCGAACCTTGCTGACGACCAATTAACGTCACTGAGAACGAACCAACGCCGAACTTTCTAACACAAACTTTTTAGGACCGCCACTGTTTTACGAATGTGGCACATCACTACTTCCGCCAGAAATGCTTAAAACTAGAAAATCCAATAATTGCAAATGATATTTTGTAAACCAAAACGATTTTTAAAAATTAAAAAATCCTCCCTTACCCAACTCTTCCCACCAACAACCTTTTCGCGCATAGTTAGTATCTTGTATTAATGATTAACGTGTGACTAATTAAACAACAACACTATCAGGGCCGGCGCTAGGAGAAGGCGCTAGAAGTGGGCCCCGCGCGTTGCCGTAGTATATTGATAATATGCCTAAGCCTACAAATAGTTCCTAATTCAGTCAACACAATATTCGAAGTTATTAGATAGTCAAATGGTCTGGAGGTCAGTCTGGCTCCCATACTATCCATTCGAGATGAATCTCGGGAAGACCTCTGGGCGCATGTGAAGCAGACGAAAGGGGATATCAGAATTGTATACTGTATATAGACCCGTTAACCTTTTGTTCAGCCTTCATCACACGATAAGAAGACGAATGATATTTACTGATGTTTCGTAGATGTTGCAGAGTGGCGGTGAGGGTCGGATTATATCAAGTTTCCAAATAATTCCCTTAGGTTTCATGAGTCACATACTGTACAGATATATGCGGAATAGAATAGAAATTTCGGAAACTAAGCGAGTGAACAAATATCCGTTATGACGCGTCCCATTATGACCAGCAAGGCCCCAGTACGACTATAACGTGTCTTAATATCTTAATCGGCGGAATATATAACGTCAACGACCCCGCAAAATTCAATTTGCCCAAGGCCCCGGACCCTCCTAGCGCCGGCCCTGACACTATGTGTCTGACTCTTTTTCCTCCCGTGCCAGAAACTCGTTCAAAACAAACAAAATTAGATACCGGCAGGCCTTTTTTTTTATCAATCAAACCTTTCCCCCGGAGAGGAAGCCAACAATTTCTTTGTTTACAGTTGACAACACTTAGATGAGGCGGGTCATGCGTGGGTGGGGAGGGGACCAACCGCCGCAGCAGTATGATGATTCTACAGGGCAGTGGCGTAGGGGAAAAAAGGGAATGGGAGTGGGGTTACCTCGTGTGGCTTTTTTTCCGTATGTAGAGGGGAGGCATTTTTGGCCGAGGTTTTATCGCGGAAAGGGGCGGAAAAAATCTCAGCCCGCCCCAGGCGGCACTAACCATGGCTACACCACTGCCTACAAGACAATTAACAAACCCCGACGCGCCGTAGGAGATCAGAAGTGAGGAAAAACATGATAGAAAGTCTTTTTTAAAATTTTATTATTATTATTATTATTTTTAAAATGCCAATGTGAAGACTTCATTCACTTCAAACAGGATTTTTAAAAAAAAAAGCACTGGATATTTTAAATAATTATACTTTTATCGATAATTTAAAGATTACAATTTCAATGCTAAAAAGTAGCAAATAAAAAAAACCGCAAAAAAATGTGTGCAGAAAATATTTTTTTAAAATTAATAAAAATACAATTTTAAAGTCTTGTCTATGACTTAAGACTATATTCAATTCAAATCCTTTGTGGCTATATAGAGTGCTAATATACACTTCTGCGCAGTCTTTTTTTTTTTTTGCGTAATGCATTTTACGAAATTTCATGTCATGTAATCACTGCTTTGATAGAAATTATTTTTAAACAAAGTTTTTAAATTTTAAAATCCTTTACATTAACCGCACTTTTGTTCGTGTTTAGCAAAAACTTTGGACGGCTAATTGACCTACTTCCTGTCAACCTATCGAACTTGGCACATAGACTCGGTGCCGATGACAACACATTCTATAAAATTATCCTCATATAATCTACAAGTGCGTTTCTGTGTGACGACTGTGTGGGGTATTAGGACATAAAATGTTGCAGTTGAAACGTCGTTCCCAAGCGTTCCTGTAGGACTCGAACCCTGCGCACAATAAAAATACTACATTTGTTTAATCTTGCAGGTATTCAATGATTTAAAGAAATACTTTTAGTTTTAACAAGAGTATAACATTAATTTTACAAGTACCGGTTAGGCCAAAGAGTTAAAGACTAAGACCACGGTCGTGCGGCGTATAATCTGCTGTGATGTACGAAGGCCACATCCAATAGTTTAGCTAGGTACACCGCCGCGGTGCACGCAGCCACTTCGAAAATAAAACCCTTGATATTTTGACATGGTGGTGCCCCTTTCTTCCTGCGACGATTTCATTTACAGTAGTAGTAGTATTTATAATAATTTTTAATAAGGCCTCACTAAAACGTACATTTAAATTCCCTCAATATGCAGCAAGCAAACGCTAATGATCCTAGACGACCAAACAAAGTTACAAGGTATAGGACTAGTATAGTCAACTGATAAAATTTAATTGTCTTAAATTGATCTATCTGTACGCCACTGTACGGCATTGAATCGTTATCATTTCATTACATGACTGTACTGTCATTTTTCGGAGTGATCATTTTTTTTACCATCATCTGATTAGTGACTATCAACAAATCAATATTGTCAATATCACTAAGTTAAATTTGTAATGAGTAATTAAAGTGTAACTTTATTAGTATGGTGTTTAAATATTTATTTTAATTAACCTAGCCCCAGTTAATTTATATAAAGTATATTACTACTACTACTACTTGTTAAATTATTTAAATAAGAAATATCTATGTTTATCAATTCAAGAAAGAAAACCATGGCATATCGTACATCTTTCTTGCCCAAAGCTACAAAAGATTTGTAAAATTTCCTTTTGTAATGGAGGCGATTATCGGTTTTAGAAATTTTATATTTAACTTATCTTATTAGTATTAGTCGTCACTAGCAACGCTCTGACTTAGTTGATGGGGGAAAAAATTAAAATAATATGTAAGTAAAGAAAGGGAAAAATTCATCTCAACAAAATCAGGTCTAACATGAATTATTTTCTTTGAAATTGCTACTTCCCTTAAATTTGTTAACATCTCTCCAACTTAATTATGAGATAATATAACATAAAACTGATGCACGTTTTCATATCGCTGAAAAAAATAGCAGTAAGTTTTGAAGGCGTGTCAAATATTTTGTTCACAATTGATGTCTATAAACCTGACACTAGCGGTCATACTAAAAAGCAAATATGTAAAGATAATCATCTTTCACAGCCCACACTTATTTGCCCAGTTCAGGCTTTTAATTTTAATGCAACATATTTGTAAGGTACATGAAAATAATAAATGAAATTTTCAGCAATTATAAACTTTTCCTGTCTCTATTAGGTAATAGTGTTCCTGGCTGATGCACAGCCAAAAAATTTTCTGTGTATAATCAATTATTCTGATCTTAGGTACAAGGCACAGCCCTCTGGGGGTCCAGCAGATGATCCAACTCCTGATTATATGAATCTTCTTGGAATGATATTTAGTATGTGTGGACTAATGATGAAAGTAAGATTATATAATGTGTCTGGCATTTAAAAATTTATAATAGTCAAAGAAAATCACTATAACCAAATAGTTTATTAAAATATTTAAATGTTATTAAATTAAGTCAAAATTTTGTTTTACTGATCATGGGCAGTGAATATTGCATTAATAATTCATTTGCATTTATTTTTTTCAGCTCAAATGGTGTGCTTGGGTAGCTGTGTATTGTTCATTTATTAGTTTTGCCAATTCCAGAACATCAGATGATACAAAACAGATGCTTAGTAGCTTTATGTACGTTTACTATAGTAATTAGTAATTGTACAGCAGTTTTTCTCTTACAACTTTGTCCCCTTTTCTCACAAACGAAATACCAGTTGCAAGTGTTAGCATTAGTTCAAATATTATCATCTTAAAAAATGCTTCTACCTATTACTTTTTTTCCCTCCAAGATGTAATAACTTATCCATTTCTTTTGTTTTAGGCTCTCAATATCAGCTGTTGTCATGTCGTATTTACAGAACCCCCAGCCAATGCAGCCACCTTGGTAATTGAAAAAGTGCACACACCGGTATTAAAAGTTTATTTATATACATGCATCGTGTTTGCTTGTATTTTTTTTCAATAGCTGTTGACTAGAAGTTATTATTTTAATTGTAAAAGGAAATATGATTGATACTAACTTGATGTGAATAAAATAGTAACTTTTGGGCTTAGTAATTAACATAAAATGAATCTTTGTTTAGCATTATTCATCTCCTAATACCAGATAATGCTGAGACTTGGCAACTAAAGGTTGGAAAAGACAAATTATGAAACCTACAGTTATACAATACATATAATATAAGCTTTGCTTTTGTGAAAAGTGTACAAGTCTGGTTGATAGTAATTGGGGTGAATTTTGAGTGGCTGTGATATTTCATGCAGTGTTAATTTTCTTAGAAATAGAAGAGGTTCAATCCTAAACCCTAGCTGCTGTGTGTGTTTTTGGGCTGTGTGGTGCCCAGACATTTTGGTCTGTGTGGTGCCCAGACATTTTGGTCTGTGTGGTGCCCAGACATTTTGGTCTGTGTGGTGCCCAGACATTTTGGTCTGTGTGGTGCCCAGACATTTTGGTCTGTGTGGTGCCTAGACATTTTAATTGGGTTAAATTAACTTCCCAAATTATGAAGAAAATAGTTTAATTTAGAACATTGGTTCTCAAACTTTCTGGTCATATTTTCCGGCCATTTGGGCCATACGGTCAACCTGCGCCATCTCTCCTCTATCACCCTCACCTCACTTATTAACCCATTATAAGATAAGCATTCTGATGATAAAAATTTGCATAGGCCTCTTAGTCTATGGTAGATACATACATAACTACATGTAAAACTTAATTTGAAAATTTAAAAAAAATACCCATGAAAGAGTTTGCTTTTATTCATTAATAAATATGCTGAAAAATTTGATAAAGCTAAACCTAAGCTTTTTAAAGTAGAGTAATATAAATACCTAGCAAGAATTTAAGATAGCTAACATTTTCTCTAGTCAATTATTCTTAATGCTGTGGATGCTTGGGCTTTGTAAAGTGACAGCACTTTTAACTGTTAAGTTTCATAACATAAACATCAGTGACTGTTCTTATTACTATGTTCTTTCTTTGCATTGGCCAAAGCTAAACAACCTCACTAAAAACACAACCTGCCAGCTACAATGGTGAGAATGCAAGAAGGAGCTTATTGAGCATCTTTCATGCTGCAGAATATGATACACATTCCTTACTGTGGCCAACATTCTTAATATTTCGTACATTTTCTCAACATAATTTTTTTGCGGAATAAGTCCTCCTCCACTTCAACAACTGCATCAATCATTAAAATTGTTTTATCTTTGAACTGTTACTTCCATCAAGATACAATTAAGAAATTCATAAGATAATCTTAAATTTAAATTTAGGATAATCAAATGGTCACAGAGTACCATACTAACAGATAATCATCTTGCATCTTAACTTTCTCTTTAAGCTCAGACAGGCTTAGAAATTTGCATTGCATGAGAGCGTCCTATATTAAAATTGGAGGTAGTTCAAACATAAAGAATATGGAATTGGTTCTTAAAAGATTGATCTCATTCTCCTGCAACTGCAAATTCACTTTTATTGAATTTGGAAAATATTTCTGATGTATTAGTATTAGCCATGTCGTGTCTTTCAAGTCAGCACCAAGAGAAGCATGTGTGCCAACAAACCTCAGTATGAAGCATTGAAAACTGCATCATTCTCAACGAGTGTAAGGAATAGTCATTGTGGATGATCATGTGCATAGATTCACTGCAGTAATGATGGTCATACGGTTTTTTAGCAAACAGATTTTGGTAATGAATAGAACAAAGAATAATAAAAGCCAAGTTTTTTTCCCCTTCGAATAAGGAACAACCATTACATCCAATTGTTGCTGCCAACTTTGAGAACAACTGATTTAGAACATTTGAACTTTTATAACATAGTTTTAAGAGCTTTACAAATATATCATTTTTCAAAGTAACGTGAATGTTTAGTGGAAACTGATGCCAAATACAATACACCACACAGTAGAACTGGTGCAGCTGCAACTTTTGTGTACAAACTTTGTGCATGCTTACTCAAACTCACAGGGTCATAGTCTTACAGCTTGCCTTGAGTCATAGTCCAATTTAGTAGCATATAATTATGTTTTTATATTTATAAATGATAGTGTCAAAACCAAAATATTAAGAAACAGAGAAAATAATTTTAAAGACATTGAAATGGGTGAAAGACTTTTTACTTTGCTTGATAAATACTAATACCATGGCACAATAGTACAGTTCACTGTAGCTAACAAAATTCCTACATCATCATCTCAATGTGTTCCCGACATAAGAAACTTTTAATTTTAGGAATGACATGTTTTTATTTGATGGACAAAGATAAAATTCTATCTAATTAAGTTGAAGTGAAAAGATTGCTGGATGGTCTTGTATTTGACAAATAAGAGAAAATTGTAAAACCATTCAGCTCATTATAATCATTGGTGATACTAATCATAAATATTGTCATCTACTATTCTCAAGCATTCATTTACACATCACGAGGTTAGGAAAGTAAGTTATAATGAGATGGCTAAAATACATTTACTATACATTGCATTTTTAGTAGAAATACAATTAATAGAAGAGATGATTCAACTTCTATAAAACAAACACCACAGTTTATAAAATTGTTGTCGGGGAAGATTAGGAGTTCATAATTTAGTTTCATTTGAAACATGTACCGGTACTACTAGTTTTGTTCATGTCACAGTCTTGATGCTGTAAAAAATGGGATGTGTTAAAGTGTCAGCATTTCTCAACCAGGTGTGCACATATAAATGTAAAGAAAAAAAAATTGAAATAGAAATGGAAGAAAAATGTTTCTCCAAAGTGGGTAACAAAAATATCACACTCAAGAGTTTAGGCCTAAATGGGGCCAACGAGAGGAGGCTGTTGAGCCATTTATACAATATACCGTCTATGAATTTTCAGTTTCTATTACCATTGTTATAGATAAGACACATGTTTATGCAGTGACGGTCTTGGGCTCAGTATCAGTTATTTTTTTTACTATCTCTACATTTTGCTACTGTAGGTCTTTAGTCAGTTATCTTTTGTTAATGATAGAAATTTATTTAAGGAAAATAAATAATTTCGTAATGGGATACCTTTAACCTATCTTGTCAAGCAGATCAGGATTCATGTAGGTGCATCAAAAATCTGTTCTCATTTTAATAAGAATAAACACTGAAGATTTTTAGTAAGGAAATTAATCCATGCACCATGAGCAGATGACTACTTATTATTTTATTACATTACCAAATATCACATATTAAATTTGATATGCTAATTGAAACAAAAAAAACAAAGCAATGTACTTTATGTAACTAAGTAATAGAGAACAATTAAAAAAAAAACCTAATCCCTCTTTATGTCCAGCCTGAAATATTCATCAATACAATCTCCGAAGCATACCAATACCAATACATTTATAAAATGTACTTCATTTGCTCTTCACAGTTAAGAATAATTAACAGAAATGATTTGACAACCCTGTTCCAGGTCTTCTGTAAATAAAATCACAACCTGTCCTCGTTTCGTTGCAGCACTCATTGTAATAGCATCCAATCAAATTTAAGAAGATGAATTATTAAATAGTCTACAAAAGTTTCATATAATAGTGCATGCAAAATATGCAATACCCTTATGAGAAAACTAGTTTCTTCTCATTATTGACTTGTATCCACTAACTATTAATAAAATAATCGCTGTTAAAATTTCTTTATCTTCATCATGACGATCACATTTATTTGATGTTACTCCGTAAAGCAAATGTTTATGTCAGCACATAACATAGGAAACAATAAAAATGAGTCTAAATTATAGAACTTGAGCAATTTGTTTCATTTACTTTTTATGTAACCATTGTCAGTCAGGGATGAATGCAAGTTTTGTAAACAATTCAGTAATTCTATAGGCAGAGCAGAGCATATGATATGTAAATGTCAGCATGGTCACAACTTTTTCTTAATACTGAAACTGACTTGCACACATCCAACAAGTAACAAAGACTTTTAGACTGGACTGAAGGGTAAGAGGGGAAATGCAACTTGTGTATCTATTAACAAAAGGAAAAATAAATGCAGATTTTTTTTGACAATGAGGTATTATGTATTAAGAGCAATATGACCATTCATGAGACCATGCAGTGGATTTAGACTCTCATTTGTGTCAATTTATTTATAGTTAAAATGGTTTTGATACTATCCGAGATCAAAGAAATAGTCAGGAACAAAACATATTTTGTCTATTAAAATAAATAACATTTATTTTTTTTAATGTAATTCCTTCCCCCAACAAAGACAAACTATTGCTTTCAGTCAGACAGGACATTTAGTTTTCATCCAATTTCTGAAGCAATCAAAGATAATTGCTTTCAGACAGCACATTTAGTTTTAATCCATCTTCTGAAATGACCAAAGACAAACTATTGTTTTCAGATAGCAGTAAGGCCTTCCATCTTTTGATCCAAAAATGAAGGATAATCGACATTCAGTCCAACGTTATACTAAAAATTTTGGCGCTAAGTTTCTTTTAAGTTGTCAAATAATTGCATACCTGATGTGGTGCAGTGAAAAGGAAGGTTACTGTGTTGTTTAACTTTGATAAAAGTGAATAGGACCACAAATGCTATGTTCTGTGATAGTTTCTATTGTCGCTGTTGTCATCTGCCTCATTTTCATTGTCTTCATTCTGACGGCCATCGTTTTCATCATCACTAGCAAACCTATTATCTACCACAATGGTCTCAATTAACCGTGAATCCATTGAATCCACCACAGAAAATCTATTGTCCATTTCCTCGCCTACACCTAGTTCTATTATTTCCCTTTCGTCTTCATCTTCTGCACTGACAGCAAAAACATCTGCAACAATCGTGCCGTCCCCCGAAATAATGTAATGTTCATCATAGTCTTCAAAATTATCGTCGTAAAAGTTTTCACTGTCAGAATGTCCTTCGTGGTCAGATCCTTCTTCATTGTCATTCTCTTCATCACTAGGAACGTAACCGTTAGCAAAGACTTGTCCAATACTATCCCCTGAGCTGTTGGGAGTGAGACCTAACCTATTCTCCCCTTGTTGATGCCCCGGGCTCGGGGCTCCTCTTGACACAAACCTGTTGAACGATTCATGTTCCCTAAGAGCCGATACAACATCAGGGTTGTAAGGAAAAATCCCTTCCCTGCTGGTGGTAGTGGCTCTGGTCTCATGAAGAAGGGAATCGCTGAAAGGTCTGATGTCCACGGCACGGCTGGTTAAGTGGCGGGTGAGGTCATCAAGGTGACATTCAAATGCTGATCGAGCATTGCTGGTAGGAGAACTTTGAGTAAGTGTTTCCCCTAAGCCAGAGCTTCCAGTCAATGAACTGTTACGATGCATTGTAAGCTCCCTTAAGAGATTGTCAAATCTGTAGACCAGATCGCTCCTGCTCTCCGTTGAAGATCTCTGGTTGCTGTCTGAGCAGAGCTGAGGAGAAGTTGAACACACTGAATAAGGAGCATCTCCAAACTGTGGCGTCGTTGGTTGATCTGCGGTAGGTGTGCCACGTCTGATGGCATTACTCCTTTCTAACCGTGACCTCAGGTAGCTGGACGTATCTCTTGGACGGTTTCGCTGCCACCGGGAGTCACTCGTAATGTGAAGCCTGTCTGACGCTGGAGATGGTGGATTAAGGTAACCCACAGACTCCAGGTAGGAGTTAGGTAAAAGTGGAACAATGTTAAACGGTGGTGATGATGTAACAGTCGTCTGGGCTGGAGCAGATGAGATTTGCCCAGTGGATGTACCATCTCCTGCTGCTTGAGAACCACCCAACTGACCCTCTAGACTTGATTCATCTTGGCTGACAATCAGAATGTTATTCACTGTGTCATCATAGCTATGTTCCATCTCACAGGATTCAGATCTTTCTTCCTCCTCTTCTGCCTCCTAAATAAAATTATTGAAAGAAATTTAAACAGAGACTTGACAGGAAACTATCCTGGATTCACAGATTTTAAAAAAATATTTTTATATTTTACAGGCAACCATTGACAGAATAAGACTATATTAGTTGTATTTTTGAGATTTTTTTCTAGCATAAAAAATGAAGTTCTCAGAATGGAAAACAAGTGATTTTACCATTATTGCCAAAGCTGGTATCTAAAGCACTAACACTAACCTGAAGCTGCTCATCATCTTCAACCCACTCTCCCAATTCCATGGCTATGCGCCTATAGCGAGACTCTCTTAAAACACCTTTAGCCCTCAATGTCTTTGGGTGGTCAGGGCCCATGATCTCCTCACTGAGACGAGCCCATTTTTTGAAATATTGATATGACCTTTTATAATCCTGATAAATTGAATAAAAATAATCAGAAAGGATAAAATAATTATTAAATTTTGTTTCTTCAGACAGTTGTCACATTTGTTTGTATAGATAATTGTTCAAATATGCTTTACTTTATGTAACAAAACAAAAATTAAATACATTACTGCTAATAATAACCATACTTATTTTGTTTGAATTATAATTCATTTAATTATCAAAGGTTTCTAATAAGAAGTAATGGATGAGATTACTTTATTGTCCTCATAGACTATCCCGATGTTGATATAGAGCCGTGATGTCAGGATATGGAGCTCACCATACATTTGCATGCACAGTTCCATTGCTTGATTGTATAACTGGTGACAGGGATTCAGTGTAAAAACACAAGCAACATACAGAGACTTATTCAAAGAATAGAACAAATTATCTAGATATCGTTTTGGTGGTTTCAAAGCTCTTGTAGATACAATTAGAAGCTACAGTTTCAAACACTATAATGAAGCTAAACAGAAGCCTTTCAATACATTTGGACAAAATAGCAAATACATATTGTTCAACTGGCTAATCTCTTTGTTAATTAATTTGAGAGTTTCAGCCTTGCAATAGAAAAAAAAAATATTTCAAATATTCATAATAGATTCTATTATTTTCTGGTCAATTTACTTCATTCTTATGGTATTATAAGTTTTCGTTTAGAATTTAATCATCATAAACTGATGGAATATTTCACTAAATGTCTTAATGTCAGGGTTCCTGCACCAAATCTAAAAACAAATTCCAGGAGTTTTCCAGGAGAAAATACAAAATTCCAGGACATTTTTTAAAGAGTAAAAAACGGAGAGACCCTATACGCTTATACAATTTTTTTGTAGTAACAGGACATAAATGCACTTATATAGTACCGGTACTTACTCTAAGGATTGCCAATGCTATAGCAATTATTTGATTTAGGTATGTACCGGTATAGATATTCTGGCCCCGAGTTCACATACAATTGAGTAACTTGGTTTTTTATAAGAATAAGATGCACTTGATGTTGGATAACAAACAACTAATAAAGTTATAAGATAATCCATTTTATTCACAAGTAAGTCATATTTATTTCCGAAGATACACATAACCTAGGAGCTTGACTAGGAAGTTGCAAAAGTGGACACCCGAGGTAGGTGAAAAAACTGAAGTTGAACTAGAGGAAGACTCAGATGATTGTTGTTTATCATTGTTGATCATTTTCCCCTAATTTTCATGGCATCCGAGAACTGTCCTGCAAATATACTTCATATATTTACAGTATTTTTGTTTTGTCCTGTACACATAAAGATCCCTAAGACTGGAGCAGTAGCCTTGACGTGAGCTGTATTTTGTTGAAATTTAGGGAGAGTTGCTCAATTCGCCAGAGCCACTCTCTCGTCGTTGCCTATTTGATTCAATGGTAAGATTAGTCAAGACGACTGGATATAGATCAGGATGCAGTAGATTACCAGATTGAGTGTGTGTGTGTTTCACTATGCTCTTTATGCTTTCTACGTCATAGGATTTTGTCAGAATTTTCATTGAGTCAATGTCATAACGTCTACGGGTCTCCATCTCCGGGTTTGATTTCATAGTTTTCCTTCTCCAAGTTGAGTTGCCATTCAAAGTTAACGAGTTCCATCTACCCGGCATGCTGGTGATGTTTTTGCTTGTCTAGGCATTTTCTGGGGATAGAACTCCAGTACACTAGCCACTAGCTTGGGATTGACTCAGTTCAGAGTCAATATCTAGTATAGAGTAGCAGTGATGGCTTGTTCAATCAGGATTGCTATCTTAATTATCAGTCCTCAAAGGAACCGTTGGGCATTTATTTACCCTAGACCTTGAATAGTGAAATAAAATAGAATTAATTTATTATCATATTAGGTCTATAATATTGACTATATTATAAGTTATACTGGTACTAAATTAATAATAATACAGAGAGAGTCAGAAGAGAAACTAATATAGGCATATGCCTATGTAACGGCTTAGTCCGGATTTTAAACAGGGGAATGGGTCAGCGACCAAGCAACCACTTTTTTTTTTTAAATTTCGGAAGTCTCCCCCCCCCCTTCCCAAGCCAACTATGCTTATAATACCGCAAAGTATGCCTATACCTAGAGCACAGGGGTGCATCACTTAATTTTTAACTACGTGTATAAATAAGGACTAACTATGTAAAGTTATGTGAAGCTCAATGGTTGCATCAGCTAGTTTTAATAACTTTAAAATGAAGTTCCGAAGTCATTTTTGAAGTCATCGTAAACTATGCTACAACATGCAAAAATAACATAACTTAATTTTTTTATTTAGTATTCTCCTATTTAGAAGGCCTAACTAAACTTAACTTACAAAAAGGCCTAAAACTCACTATAAACTATGTTTAAAAAAATATGTGTCAATATAATTGTTATAAAAAAAGGCCTACTACTTACTACCTTTTGTTAATATTTATAAATAAAAATCAAATTCTTCTTCTTTGCAAACTGTAACAGCCGCGAGCGTTTGCAACACCATACTCGCGAAAACGCCGTATAATATAATGGTCAAAACTGATACTTTTCAAACTCGTGTTAAAGTTAAAGACATAAAAGTAAGATAATTCGTCAGATAAAGACTTAAACTTTATTCACATATTCATATCAATTGTACTCCTTTAAAACTACTATATAAGTAAGTTAATTTTTGTTTTTGAAAACTTCGGAAAATGACCCCAAAACTAAAACTACGCTTTCTCCAGTTTGGACAACCTACGGTAAAACTAACAAAACTTCAACTTTAAAAAAAAATTAGGCTAAGCTTAGTCAAATTATACAGCGATCGGGCGCGTAGTTTTCTATTCATAATACTAATAATAGTTACCAAAAATTTAAATAACTACAGATAAATATCTATTTACTGTATTTTACACTATACTTACCAAATAAATTAGTTGAACAACGAACTGAACGGAACGAAAAAAACTTCTTGTCTATCAAAGCATTACGGTACGACATTTCATATCCAAAACTCGTAAAGCGCATGCGCAGTTAAGGGGAAACCACTAGAATTATTATGGCAAACTCGTTTTGATAAATGAATGGCTAAAAATAGACTACGAATTGAATATAGCGGTAATATTAATTTATAAAATAACTATCGCGAACAAGGATTTTTTTTACCCCTCCCTCTGTGGAAACAAAAATTTCAGGACATTTTAGGAGAAATTTTAAAATTTAAGGAGTTTTCCAGGATTTTATCATTTGTTTTCAAATTCCAGGAGATTTCCAGGAGCTCCTGGAATTTCAGGAGGCCGCGGGAACCCTGTAATGTATTTTGAACACTGGAAACTACAACTTTACACTACCTTTAGCTGTTCCATACTTCCTCGTGGAGCTAGCACACCTTTGGTCATCAAGGCTTCAGCATAGTGTCCCATATCATTGAGCTGTGGTCAAATATAAAAACTACAAATAGCACATGGGAAATAGCACAAGATAATTACCAAAAGCACAAGGTAACTAGAAATAAAGAAAAAGCGAAGAGTTGTCATGTATCAACCAGTTTGAATTGAAAAACTATTCAACAAATGAACTGCCGTGCACCACAACTTTATTACCTCCATAAATATTTTCAAGGCCCTGTCAATGTATTTGTTGCCTTCGGTGACAGCATCTGGACCGGTCAGCTCTGAGCCTCCCCCACAAGCATCCCAACTCTTCATGTTGAAAGCCAACCTCATGAGGGACATCCCTAGCTTAAACTTAAGTCAAATAGACAAAAAAAAAGTATCTAAATTCCTTGAGAACCTTTGATGCTTCTTCATTTGATATTTTAACAAAACATTTCATTATATTGACACTAATTGTGAGTTTAAAAAAAAGAACAGAAACATGAATATCCTCACTTGAGTGAATGATCTATTCATATTACCTTGTGGTATGACCCTGGAAGAGTTTTTCTGATATGAATGGATTTCTTGGCATAGTGTATGGTTTTTCTCAAATCTGGGAGCTGGCTTCTTGACACAAAATCATTTAACTTGAGTTTCTACCAACAGGATATCAAACAAAAAGCTAACATTAAATATGACAGAGTCAACTTGAGATAACATTAAATATGACAGAGTCAACTTGAGATAACATTAAATATGACAGAGTCAACTTGAGATAACATTAAATATGACAGAGTCAACTTGAGATAACATTAAATATGACAGAGTCAACTTGAGATAACATTTAATATATCAGAGTCAACTTGAGATAACATTAAATATATCAGTCAACTTGAGATAACATTAAATATATCAGAGTCAACTTAATTTAAGTTAAAATATCAGTGAACGTGAGATAACATTAAACATGACTGAGTCAACTTGAAATCTCTCAAACTGGTTTAGACATTTTGTATCGGTACATGCAGCTTGACTTAAGACAAATTAGGCTCCTGGTAGATCTAATAGTTCTGATATTTTTAACCATTATTTTCTTAAAGTTTTCATTAATCATCAACACTCAAATACAGTAAACAAACTGTAATTGTAGATGTGCTACCTCATCATAGATCTCTGACATAAGTGCATAGAGTTCAACCATTCTGTGAGATCGAGCACCCAACTCCTTCTCTTCAATTTTCATGGCCGTCTTCAACAACTCCAGGGCATCTTGGTGCTTGCCTGCTTGGATTCTGTCGACAAAAAAAAATGTACATCTTAAATCATTGAATCAAATGGTTGGATCATTACATCATACATGTTACATTGTTTTACTCATACACATCTGGACATCTTATTTGGTTTTGTTGAAACTTTCAAAATGCTTGAGCACAGAAAACTGTTGGGATTTTCTTCCCACAGAAAGTGACATTGACATGGATGCAATGTAACATGAAAATAAAAAGGGCAATAATTCTGAATGCTTAAAAAAAGTTCGTTTGTTTTTAAAGGATTTTTTTCTAGCTTTTTTAGAAAAGTGAATTGTTATTTACTTTGTAATTCTGTCAAGGCTATATATACAGTGTGCTGTCAAGAAGACTATCTGTACAGTGTGATGTCAAGAAGACTACAGAGTGCTATCAAGAATACCATACCGGTACACTACAGTGGTATTATCAAGAAAACTATAACAGTGTGCTGTCAAGAAGACTATCGGTACAGTGTGCTGTCAAGAAGACTACAGAGTGCTATCAAGAATACCATACCAGTACACTACAGTGGTATTATCAAGAAAACTATACAGTGTGATGTCAAGAAGGCTATCGGTACAGTGTGATGTCAAGAAGACTACAGAGTGCTATCAAGAATACCATACCAGTACACTACAGTGGTATTATCAAGAAAACTATACAGTGTGATGTCAAGAAGGCTATACCAGTAGAGTATCCCAGTTCTAGGAGGCAAGGGAAGCCACAGAAACCGGGAATAAAAACCTTGGTAAAAAAAAAGACAGCCAAAGTCAAAAGGGAAGGTCTGCACATTTTTCACCATGGCTACCCTATCAGAATGATTATTGAAAGAGCGAGCAAAACTTACGTGACTCTACAGACTTTTTCATATCTTAAGGAAACGGCCGCTTCATTTGCAGAGTCTGCTTCTTCAAAACTTTTGAGAGCTGCCTCATAGTTAGAAATCATTTCTGAAATAGGGCCAACCTAGGAATATATAAATGAGATAACATAAATTGACCTCTTTTGTCAAGAGTTATGGCCTAATTGTTGTTGTCTATAGTAATGGCCTCACTGTAAAGCTAATCTATATTTAAAGTATTAATTCTTTCTAAATAAAAGTTTCTACCTTAAATAAAATAAACATGATGGTCTTTTTAAAATTGAAATGAATTTTTTAAATGTAATTATTATTTGCATCTGATTTTCAAATACTTTTGATTAAAAGGTCTCACGGGAGAATGTACTTTATGCACAAATAAATTTAAGTAGAAATCCTTGAAGTGCAGTCATTAAAAAAGTGTCGTCCAACCTTTCTCCAATAGGTCATCAACTGAGAGCTGTATTCCTCATGATATAACCTGTCAAACACCCTCCAGTCACAGAGACACTGAGCCAGGTGAAACTTGTCATCCAAGCATGCCAAGTGGTAAGGATATTCTTCCACCATTCTTGTCACGTCACCATGATGACGGAAAAAGTCAGCCAACTTTGAGTGCCAAAAGAAATATGTGCTTGACTTTTCTGGCTTTGCTGTTGATTCATCATCTGAATTTACTGTAAGATATCTGAAAGTTTAACAGAAATTTTTTTTAAAAAAGTAGGGATAAATAATTTAAATAGGCAGTTTATTCCTGCTGGTCCTGACGCACCTTGATTAAAATATCAGTTGTTGGTATATTCTTGAATAACCCTTTCAAAGACCATTGACACCGTTGTCTAGGGTCAACTTGAACTGTTACAATGGTCATCTCAAAAGGATCAGGCTAATACTTGAGAATGTGACTACAGTAACACTTCATGAAATAATAGTTCTTCTTTTATCTTGAAACACTTCATAGGTGTCATCACCACACCACTTTATACTTACGAATACAGTCCACTCCCAATACACACCAACGAGAGCTTCTGGCAAACCTTAACAACAGGAACGTTAACTCCTATATTGAAATATGAGAATAACCTCTCTCAACACACCGCTGGACTACCAACATCCACATGGGCAACGAAAACTCAATGTGGACTGCCCGTGAACTAACTCACCTCTCGATCTCTAACACCTCACATTCAACACACTTGTTTCTTGCCATCTCCTTTCATCCAATCACAATTTAGACACAACTCTACAAACTCATGTTGACAACAAGCTCACACTAACAACAGTGATTCTCATACCCTTCTCATTGTTATTTCATCATTAGTAACCAAATTATGCATCCCTGAGCCTTCCGCGGGGGTGGGGGGTGGGGGTGACTTCAATAAAGAAAATCTGTTTGTTAAACTTCTTATTTTTTAAAATTGTTCAACTCCCAGTAGAGCATAGTCCATTAAGAATATGTTTCCATGACTTGTGGTTTCTTGCAATCCCCCTCTCTCCCCTCCCTCTCTCTCTCTCTCTCCATTTGTATTTTAGTTTGCTACTCCCGTTTGTCATTTATCTATGACATGAAATGTTGTGCAATATATTGTACTTCTTTCTCATTGCTCATACATTTTGTGGCCATTAATTTTTTATATATATAATTATATATATATATATATATATATATATATATATATATATATATATATATATATATATAAAATACCTGTATAATATACCAATATCTGGATGCAGATGTCTTTAGTTTGTTACTGGTATATTTTATTGATATTTAGGAACTTTAAAAAATTATTCAGATTATAGTTAATCTGATTATCTCTGCTACTTGGTTCAGGAAAACTGATTAATTATTCAAGTAACAATGAGTTAACAAATGGCTATATTACTTAAGAATTTTAAAAATTCATTCTAATTATAATATTTTGAATGTTAACTCTGATAACTTTAAAAAAAAGTGTAACTCCCTAGTGTGTAAATGAATGAATAAATGACTCACCTTCTTCTGACTGCTTTACTAAGTGCTCTGTGATAAAAGTCCAACCTGCCCTCGCGACAGTCACCGTAGGGTCTAAGGAATGGCTGTAAAGTCTGAAACACAAGCTGCCACCTTTCCTCACTCAACATTCCTTTCTCTTTGTAACAGTCTTTCTCTCTGCCTTCTGTCTCTTCTAGATAAAATATCACAACAAAATCAAGACATAAATCTCAACATTCTTTTTGTCTTGTAAGTCTTTCTCTCTGCCTTTCGGTCTCCTCTAGATAAAATAATCACAACAAAATCAAGACATAAGTAAGGAAACCAAACACAGATTAGCCAGGATACTTGTTCTAAAGACCATTTATTCATAAGCTGCCCCCCACCACCGTTTTAGGTGAGAAGTATGTATTGTAACCAGCTCATAAACTGACCCTATAAAATAACATGCAAGTGTAAGCAATACAAAGGCCAGCTGTGTGTATAGTTGTAACAGAATTTTACTAAAGACAATTGATTAGTTGGGTATCTTTGTTTTATGTTATGTTGTGGTGATGGATTCAAATCTTTTAGGCCGTACGGTAAAGTAGGACCTCTTTGACCTACAAGAACAATTTTATTACGGTATTTAATGTTCCTGGAAAAATCTTAAAAATCGCCTATGACCCGATCATAAGCAGACTGCCCCACTACTTACTATGAAATATTTATATTTTAAAATCGACTTTAGAACAAGCATCTATGGGGTAATATTATACTTTCGTAAATATGTAATGTGTCTACAAACAGAAAATCTATATATGGTTTTGTTTACATTTTTAACTCTTTAGGATGATGATGTCTGTTACAAGGAAGCAAGTCAACTATTCTTCTTATCAGTTACTAGTGAATCTACTAGTTGCACGTTGTGAAAGATGCACACAAAAACAAAACGACAAACCCTTTTCTTCAAAAGGTGAAGGTGGTTTGATCATGGTGTCATCAGAAAGAAGCTGCCTCAGCTCCGTCTCATTGAGGCCGGCGGCAGACGCCTCTAGCAGACACAGGGTGCCGACAAGTAAAACACCTTCTGTCCCGGTCTCCAGCCTGTGCAGCAGTTCATCAAACAACCTGAAGGAAACACAAACTTTTCACTGCCATGAGGATGTGAAGAATGAAAATGGTTGGTACAAGAAGCTATCCCTTTTGATAACACCCAGAAATCTGAGCAGATATCAGATTACTTAGACGCAAATAATTTGTGTAAATAAAACAATTTATGTTACGCTTTCATAATGATTATACAAAATACAAATGTAAACGTTTCACAAATGCCTTCATCAGTGCAACATACAAAAATAAAACAGTTATATAAGTATAAAATAAGATTTACATAATATATCTATACATGTATCCTACCTAAAAAAAGAGAGAAAGGAATAAGAGTGGGCGCTAAACCAAAAACAAAGTTCAGAATAACACCCACAGGAAAAAGACGTTTTAGTTACACAAATTATTTTTGTCTAATTAATCTACTTCAAAGCTTTATCGCAGTCCAACACGTTTATAATTATTTAGAGCAGATATCTCCGAGTACTGGTACACTCATTTAATTTAAGATGTGTTGCATATAATTATACAAAGGATGCAGAAAAATATCAGCAACCTGATTTACTCATATTGGTGAATTCAAAAGAAAAATAGCAGGACAGGGTCAAAATATAAGGCAACTTTACAAGCAATGTCAATTGTTTTAATGGATGGTAAGGAGAGCTATTAATGCGGGGAGAAAAGACTTTGCGACGCCAACGACACACCAAGCAAAGGTTGACTCACATTAGTAAGCTGTCGGGTAGTTGGCTTATCTTGTCTGAGACTTGTCCCTCCCCCTCCACCAATTTGATCTCCTGACAGGCCAGAGTCAACCACAGTGGATTTTCAGAAGATGGCTTGTCTAAGAGGCACCTCATTTGGTGAGTTGTCAGTTTGTTGTGATTGTTCTTAAACATGATTTCTTCTATAATGCCCTGAAGTGGATGGAAATGTCAATCTGACTAATTACTTTAGGAGAGAACAGTCTTTGAGCAGTCAATGGCAGTAAGGAACTATATCTTATTTATTTTTTATTTCATGTATTAGATGGTGCACCTTCAAAAGTTTTGTAGAATAAAAAAAGACTGGAAAAAAAGTTCTTTAAAATTGATTCACAAAGCTGCCAAAAAAAATTGAGTAGGACTACTGGTAAAACAGACCTTCTTTAAATTTGATAAATAATAAACACAATGTTATTCCCTTAAAATTTATTCACCTTCTTAAAAACACAAAGCAGAGTCTTAAAGAAGATATGGCATTAACAAATTAAAAAACTGTGCACGCAATATATTATACAGAGATTCAATTATTTAAATAACAAATTGATTTTTATGGCTTATGAGAAAACATCTTTTTAAATAGGATTAAAAAGTTAACCTAAATACCTGCTTTGAATTATTGTCCAATGGTGTGACACAGATCTCTAGAGGTTTTGTCTCCCTGCTCTGTAGGGCCTTGTGGACCTCAGTGTCAGTTACCATGGCCATGATCAGTCTGACTTGAGGAGCAAGTTTCCTAGGTACCCAGCTTATGATTCTTGCTCCATGCTCTTTGGTGAACTACCATAACATTGTATTTGACAACTTTTAAATAACATAGATACAATGCTAATTTTTCTAAAATTCTTAACAAGACGTCCATTATAATGTGTCTTTTTAACATTAAATCCAAGTTTAAGCAGTGCCATTTCAGTTTTTAAAAGTCCTAAAAATATGTAATACTTTTTTAGAAGTTACCGGTATCTAATTAAATAATTGTCCTATGTAAATTCCCCAGTATGACATAAAGGTATTTGACATAGAAAGGAAATGATACCTGATCAGCAGCATCCAGGAATATGATGAGGGGATCGGTGTTGAGGTTAGACAACATACTGCAGCACATCTGGGCGGCTGAGTCCAAGTCTTTAGCACAGTTAGAGTTCTACAGTCAAAGCAAAATTTAAGCTTTTTTATGAGATAAGAAAAATCGACAGCACTTTTTGTGAGCAAGCAGTTGCATATATTCTCCACCTGCCGGTAGGTGATTTGTTAGGAGCTTAATGTATGGCTGGGTGGCCGAGTGGTCTAAACTGAGGTAATCTCAAGTTGGTGGTCTGGAGCCCAGTCAAGCAACAACACCACCAGCACCCCGGGTGGATGGGACTCATTAACCTTGGATGGCAACTCATCTAAGAGAAGGAAACTCTGAAATCAAACCCCGGAGATGGAGTCCCGAAAGGCGGATAACATTGATACAATGAAACATTCCGACAACTCCTGCGACGTCACTGGTGCCAAGCTGTATCATCCAATGATGTTCCCTTGGGTTATCCAGCGGCGTGGAGAGAGGCGATTTGCTGTTGGGAACCAGCTTATAATCCTTGAAGAATAATCCCAGGTCATGTGGATTTCGTTCTCCGAAGCCCACTCCATCGTCACATTGTGACGGACGGATGCCAGCAGCAGCAATTTATAGCTTTAAAACTTGACCAATTTTGGACTTTCTTTTAGCAAAAGCTTGCATACTAGAATCATCAGTATTATATAACTCAACGGGTCCACGAGGCAGTGCCTTCTAAATACATGGCTCAACCTGGGCACCGACAAGGGCACCAAAAATGCCTAATTCTATTAAATAATCTATTAGCCATGTATAGTTTAATTCCTGGGAGGACCAGGTGCCTAAGTTGCTGTTGAGATGGCACTGCCATGAGGTATGTATGTCTAAGTTTGTTGCCATCGTTACTGGTGGATAATATCACTTCATTTCTAAGTCAAATGTTATTTTAATTTTTAAACTAACAATAATAAATGTAAGAATTTTAGGTGTAAAAAATAGACCATAACTAAATTCTAAAATTGAAAGAACAAAAAAAATCTGGGAACCTTTTTTGTCATGCCTGTTTCCCTTAAAAGTCTTTTTAGCATTTGTTCTAGAGACGTAGACCCTGGCACAGCCCCCACAAAGTGATAAAACACTCGCCACTTTTCACCTTTATCCCTAAGATTGAAAGAAATACCAGATATCATGATACATCCAAATATATTTGACTCTACTTAAAAAGTTTAGCTTGGCTGCGGGGTTAGACAGTTTTTATGAAATTATCAATGGGAAATATTAGCTAGTTTATGAACATAAAATAAGATATTTTTATTGAGCCAAATAAATGAAATTTTTTTTTTTTTCCCCATTCATTGTACATATTTATTTCAGTCTGGAAAATCCTTGTTGGTGTTTTACGTTGTCCTTTAAATTTGTCAAGTTCCCAAGTGTGCGTTGTAGTTTTTAATGGACATTCCTTATGTCTGTAGGCGATTTGTCTTGTCTTTGGATGGTTTTCATATGCCAGAAAAGATAAGTTGGAATGAGAAAAAATTATTGCTAGGACACAAAAAGAAACCAGATAAGCCTATCAGTCAACCTGACATGTCTCAAGACACAAAAATTAAATAAATACAAATATATATATATATATATATATATATATATATATATATATATATATATATATATATATATATATATATATAAGCTCATTGACGGTTGTCTCACCCAAAGGCTGGTAACTCCCCTTGTTCAATTTTGTTTAAAATAGTCTTGGCTGCTGAACACATGACAGATGTTTTCCCTGATCCAGAGGCTCCAAGAAGTATTAATGAAATGTCACGTTCTTCCCTCAATATATAGTTCTCTATCTGAAATATTTAAAGAAGCGATGAATAATCATGTTTTTAAGAACTTACTCACCATTGAGAACTGTTCATTCACAATTTTTATCTACTAACACAAATGCACTATTCAATTTTGCATTTATTTTGGTGGCATTGCTTCATAAAAATGCTAGACATTTTAGAGAAATAGATTTGGCATTTTCAAGTTGATAAAAACTTTATGCTAGTCTAGATTCCCTTTCAATTGACACTACATGGACTTACCTGTAACACTAAGTTATCTCTGCCCAAAACGTATCTGCCTTTAGACTGTACAAACTCAAGGTGTGCTGACTTGGCAAACTCATCTGGATGGTTGGCTAAAAGTCTGTCTTCTCCACAATAGTCATATGCTATTCTTTGTTCTACAAAATCTATTATCTTAATGAGAAACAAAAAGCAGTTTAAGTGACCATTATTCTTAGTGGAATCAAAATTATTTGATTTATTTAAAGGTACTTTAAAGAAATTATTTGATTTATATAAAGGTAATTTAATGAAATTATTGTGCATTATAACAAGGTACTTTATGAAATTATTTGATTTATATAAAGGTAATTTAATGAAATTATTGTGCATTATATCAAGGTACTTTAATAAAATTGTTGTGCTTCATGCTAAGGTTCTTTAATGAAATTATTGTGATTTATATAAATGTAATTTAATGAAATTATTGTGATTTATATAAATGTAATTTAATGAAATTATTTTGATTTATATAAAGGTAATTAATGAAATTTATTTTGGTTTATCTCAACGTACTTTAATGAAACTATTTTGATTTATATCAAGGTACTTGAAACTATTTCAAAGATCAATGCACAGATGACATTTACCTTTTGTTTAAAGTCGTCAGCAAACTTAAGCATTGGCTTGTTTTTGTAATCAATGCCTCTATATTCCACAGAGTACACTATCACCCGATGTGGCTTTATAGATGAGAAAAAGAACAGAGCTATATATCAATGTTATCTTTATATTACTTAACTGTGGGAGTACGCTGATAATGGGTAGAGATTTCTTAATGACTTTATCCACTATATAGCCCATAAATCATTAACTGACAAACATTTTGACCTCAAACTGTCCACTTTTTATTATTATTATTCACTGTTTTATCACATGTAAAATATTTGTTGTTCTAAATTTGATGTCATAAACTTCATATTTAACAAAGCTTTAGAGGTTTGAAATTTTAATAAAAAAATAAAGAAAGTGGATATTTTTCCTTGTTTACCATAACCAAGGCAAAATAGATGTCATTTATTTTATTTTCTTGTTCAGAAGTACTTTCATGACACCAAAGATGGTTTGAGTAAAAAAAAGTTCCAGATACCAATTAGGGTCCGAGTAAAAAAAATCCCACTTAGTAGCAAAACAAACATTTTTTAAATTATCAAAAGTACATTGCCTTAAACACAAAACATAAAAATTCGTTTTTGAAGTTACTAATCATCTGAGTTTTAGCAGTAAAGTCAGAATGACAAATGTGATTTAAAAAGGTTGAGTTTCATTTTTGACCACACAAGTCAATGGTTTTTATTTTATTTATTACTTTGGACTTTTATTCTCAGATCAAAACATTTGTTTTGTTGAAATAACTGGGAGAAAAGAGATAGGAAATGATTCATGCTAAAACAAATTCGGCGAAAAATGCAAGCTTGAATGTCAAGGATCTGAAAAGATGTGTAGATACTTACTGGGAATTTATGCACTATCTTATCATAATCCCCACAGATCTTTTGAGATGCTGAGCTCTGCTGAACAAAACTAACTTTTACTTCTTCTGATAAAGAACCCAAAAATGAGTCATCTCTTGTCAAGAAAAGGGCTGTGAATAGGCACAAAAGAAGAATGATCTTTTTTTTCTTGCAACTGATGTTAAGATTTGTGTAAATACATATTGACAGTGGATCTCACCTGGTTGTAAATCAGACTGGCTGTTTATTAGGGATAATTTTAAAATACTCTGCATCTGGAACAATAATTTTCAGCTGTTTCTGAGACAGAAGCAGCCGATAATCCTCTCAACTTCCCTCACTGTTATTTGTATCATTCAGGAGAGATGCAAAGTACAAAGAAGAAGAGGCAAACTTTTGACAAATTTATTAGCTAAAATAAAGAGGAAAATCAGGAAGTAATAAGAATGAGGCTCATGATCTGAAATGTACATTACATTGCAAAAATATACAACCAGACGAGCTTTGATTTGATCCAGTTGTACCATTTGTGTGTGTGTCACCCTAACACACTATGTGCACTTTACATATGATTTGTGTGTGTGTCACCCTAACACACTGTGTGCACTTTACATATGATTTGTGTATGTGTCACCCTAACACACTGTGCGCAATTTATATATGATTCATGTGTGCCTCCCGAACATTTTCTTGTGTGAACCATCATTATAATATTTTGTGTCAAATGGATGGTCGTCATTTTGTAATGTTTTAAAATAAATGTGTGCAAACAGAAAAGAGAGATTAAGAAATTTCAAAAGCAGAGGATGAGTATTGCATCACTGAAAGGATGAGGTTGTGTCCAAAATGACAGAACTCTTGGCATAGGGAATCAACATGCAGAGGAAACTAATGTATTGAAGATCACTGATCACTGAAAGCAGATTGTAGTGTTATGAGGAAAGATTTAGAATTTTTTTTTTTTTTACAACCCCTCACTTAAATGAAATAAAAAAACTACAATAAGATCTTATCTAAATTACATGAAGATCTTACTATTTAAGTTATCCTCTCTAAAGGCAGATGACAAAAGTTCCAAGTCCTCATAGAGAAGGCCATAAGCTTCCTGGTAATCTTCAACAATCTCTTCTGGATATTCCCCCCACATGGGTACCCAGCCCAGTGATGAGCTAGAAAAGTAATTTTAAAAATAAATTTAGAAACTTTTGTTTTTTTTAAATGTCTATAAAATTTTACAAATAGATGTGTGAATGAATGTATATATTTATATTAAAAAAATATATATAATAAATACATGTGTTTGTGTGTTTATGTAGCTTATAGTGTTTTTCTTATAAGTGACATAAAATTCTATTAAATTTTGTCAAAGCAAGTAAATATTAAATTTCACAAGTAAATGAGCACTGGATAAAATTTAAAACAATTACAACCTAGGTAAAACAAAACAACAACCAAAAGTATTAAGCACAAATAAATTAAGTAAATCATTTTTCAGGAAGCTCACAGCTTGCTTTGGGTGGCAATTCCGAATGAATCTAATTTGCCCTAAACATTTAATATACAATTGATTGAATTATTTCTAGCGTTTACTCAATTTCATTGGTTTTTTTTTTTACTGCCAGTTGCTTTGAAAAATTATCTGTACACAGTTTTTTTAAAAGTGCTTTTTATTCCTTTATTTTAATTAAATCTACTTTTGCAGACTGGTTTGCACACCTTCTATACTGATGTCATTTCTATATTGATAGTTTTATTATTTATCTTGATTTTTTTCTTTTGGATATGAACATTGTCTTCTCAAAAATTAATTTTAAAAAAAAAAATGGTTCAAGAATGCAGGTTTGAATTTGAAGGTGCTGATTAACCAATAAAATCATTAAAAAAATAAACCAGGAAAAAAAAATGCTTTATACAGACCTGTTTACCCTCAAACTCTTAAAATGGCACAATATCATCACAAAATCATTCAATGCGTTATCTTAATCGTAAAAATAAACATACAGTATATATAATGTATGCACCACAAAATCGTACATTGTGCCCCAAAAGTCGTAAGAGTCAACAGGTCTGTTTATATCAATTCCTTTTTAACTTGAATTTGATTAGTATGGATACTTTGAAACTGGGCTGTTTATTAAGAATGTAATTTTTCTTGTGTGGACACCCAAATAAGGGAAATCCTCTACTATCATTGAGCATTATTAAAAGAATTGATAGTCTCCCTTTTATTATTTTTTTCTCTTTTTCTTTGCTTTTGTTTATTAGCATCCATTAGATTACAGTTAATTTGGGGAACACAAAAAATGCTAAAGAGACAAAGATGTAAGTTAAGTTAGATAAAAAAGCACACTTTACACAAAAATAACGTTTTTAAACTCATGCCAGCACAGGAATTACTTTTGTTATGATAAATGAAACAAAAACTACCTTGTGATATTGATGAAGATTGGCATAATACTTGAGAAATAGCTGTTCTCTATACTGGTCTGGAGTCTTTCTAGCTCTGCAACATTTCTTTGGTCCGGATGGCGCCCACCCTAAGGTATAGGACAAGGATAAAAAATTTAAAATACGCAAATGCAAGCAAGATGTATTATTACATCTATAAGAACATGTTAGCCACAAGTAATTGGTATGGATTAATTAAATTTATACAACTATAAGCCTTATCAAGCTCTTAAATGGGTGCAAAATGATATAATTAATTTAAGGAGGTTAATGAAACTAGGGACTGATTCCACTTAATTTTAAAAGTGGTGAAACTCACAAACCCATTTTATAAAATTTTCAACTAAAGTTAGCTTCCTACTGTCACACCAAAGCCGCAGCACTGGTAATATCTGAGGGAAAAAAGGAAACAAAATCTTTAAGAAGTTTTAATTTCAGGTAAAGACTATAATGAAGAGCAATCTTAAGTAAATGCCTCCTACCAAACTTTTAATTCTTGAAAAAAATTAAAATAATAAAAAACAACTTGTATTGTAATTATAAAAATTGGCATGCATAACTAAATTTTCAATCTAGAAGAGAATTGACTAGGACAGGCCTGCACAAAATATGGCCCGCCACATGCGGCCCGCCAGCACCCACTTTGTGGCCCGCGAAGTAACAATATATTCGTTATTCTTATTAATTTCTTAATAGCTTTCCCCCCTGTCCTATTTTCGTTTGGCCCACACAAGTCCTGTCCTATTTTCTTTTGGCCCGCACAAGTTTTTCATAAAGTATTACGGCCTGCCTTACATTTTGAGTTGTGCAGGCCTGGGCTAGGACATAGAAAAAATGAAAAAAAAAAATTACATTTAACAATAAAATATCAAAGAAATTACCTCTTTTCTAATTAAGTCCCTCTCTGAATAAAACTCATCACTGAAAGAAGTTATAAATAGTTTCACCTGACTAACTTGGGACTGATTTGTTGGCTTTGCAGCAGCACAAGCCATTGTAATATTTTGTTCCTGAAAATAAATTGAATGTTTTGGTTCACATATTCAAGTTTAATTATATTTTAAAGTCACATTTTTAACTTAACTTTAACCCAATAATAAGATTTATCCTTCTGATATATAATTATAATAAGTTATAAAGATACCTTGCCTTACAAGTTACATTTAAACCTATTATTATATTTTTGCATTAGGCATATATTTAAAATCATTATTTATTTTCAGTATTCTAATGATAAGTTTGTCTTCTTGTTGATCTTGTTAAAGCCATTCAAATGGAATCATGAAAACAAATACATTTTTGCATCACTGCTCGTACTACTTACATTTAGTTTAGTAATTATAATATCTACTTCTGTCACATAATCTGATAAGTATGATTAACTTAAAGTTAAATAATTAAATAAAGCAAAAAAACTTGAAAGTGAGACTACTGACTTAGTGTCAGCCTAAATTTTGCACCTGCCTTGCCTTTTCTTAGCCATAGAATTTAAAGTGAGGCTTTAAATATAATAAAGTTAATATTAATAATAAAGTATAAAGTCATTAAAGTTAAAGGTACAGACTTACAGAGGCTCAGGGGGAATTGTTATATTGTTATAGGCCATTACTAAGACTATGTCAAGACTCAAACTCAATGTGAAAAATACTAACTAGTAACACAACACAGAACTACGTTATAGTGAGTTAAGTGAGACAGTAAAAACACCTTTCACATTTTACACCTTACCTAAAATAGCATATCTCTTAGTCTTATTTTTAAGAGAGGCACAGTCCTTTTGACACACTCTTGTTTGTTTTTGTTACAATTGTCTTCTAATGAACATAACAAGCAATGTCTAGCCTTTATTATTAAAGGCTTATAGTTATTGTAATATTTGAATCATCAATATGTAAGAAAAATTACAATTCAACGTCTGAGAATAAGACAACTCCGAGTCCGAGTACTCAGGAGTAGGCCTACTACTGTGACAAGCATTGCAACAACAAAAAAAAAAGGATTTGTGGAAGATGAGTACAATTATAGTACAATAAAATTAATATTTATTAAGAGGGATCTCTTATCGAACTCCTCCTTACGATGAAGTTAAACAACTGCGAAAGAAAAACCTTTTGGAATGTGTTCAGTTAACTATTAAGCGAAAGGTCGTAGTAGCATTTTAGATGTTGATGTCAGTGTGACAATAGATTCCGAAAAATCAAATAAACATACACATACAGCGACAGCAACTGCTAGCAGCTAGGGTCAATACAAATTGGAGATCATTTTCTGATACTACTTTTGAAAGTTATAAAACTCTGGAAAAACACATTTAAAACAACAACATAAGACAAATTAGTTTATTTGAAAATAATTTTTTTTCAGAGATAATAATCAATATAATATTTAGAATCTTATATTATTTATTGTTTTATAAATAATTTTGTTTGTCAAATTGATAATAATTTGTTCTGTGCATTTTAGTTTTTTTTACGGAATTAAGAAGTATTTTAAGTAGCATTATACCAATATTAAATCCAAAATGGCGGCCTCCGGCCAAACTAGAGCTTTTGCTCAAAAGTTGAGCAAGTAAGATGGCTTAAATTCTTTCACAACTTGCATGTCCAATTGATAAAATGATAATATTTTGGGTTTACCATATTTTGTCTTGATTAGTTGGAAGGACACTTATTATTAAACTTGGAACTGTATTTTAAATTTAATGTGTTCTCCTCGGTTACTCCTTTGATTTGGTCCTTTTTTTTAGCCTTCAAATTCAATGCCTTCAAACTTTACAGTTTAAAGTAGCACTCTCACTCCTGCTTCGGCTTCGTTATTGCAGTGTGCAGCTTCATTTGCAATCTTGTTGACTCACTACGAGTCTACTTACACTACTCACTAACTGAACTAACTCCCCGCTTTCGTCTCAAAGTATCACACAGCTACATACTGTAACATACTACATCTGTTTAGACTTACTCTGTAACTGTTATAATTATATTATTGAGTCAGTAAAGTGTATAATATTTAATAATTTAAATATATGATTATGAAAACTAAATTAATTGTAAGTAATAGGGACAGGGTGATTTACTAATTTTCACAATACAAATTTTCAATTTTTGGGGTAGGGCTATACTATATTAGGCTAATTCTTATATTACTACCCATGACGTCATTTGCTTATTTATTTAAAATTTGTGCAAGGAAAGGCAGGAGTCATTCCCCTTTGTTGATATTGTTGTTAATTTTATTGGATGAAGTGTCGGAAGTGGTGGCGGCGAAGGAATATTTTAATAACCGGTTGGAACAAGATTTCGTGTGAATAATTAACGAAGATTCAAAGAAAAGTTAAATTTTGTGGTTTTAAAACTGAAATTTTATGTTTTTGGAATTCATGCAGAGAGTGTGGAATTGTCAGAATGTTAGAAATATTGATGAAAAATAGAGAAATTAATTTTCGTATATGGTACTTGAAAATCATGCGGATCTAGAAAGGTGTGATTAAATATTACGTCACTGTCGTCTTATTGTGCTCCGGTGTCCGGCGGTAAGTTCAAAATATCCAAAATTGTCATGGGGAGGAGCAGTTCGACTCATATCTATATGAATATATGTGGCGACGCTCGTGTGGCACTAAAGATCAAATGAGGGAATTTTTAAATGTCATAAAAATTGTGTATCCGCCCCATTTACGAGATCTTGCTTCGTAAAGAGTGAGTAAAATAACGAATTATCATTTGAAAATTTCATTGTTTTTTGTAGCTTTTTAAAATCGTCCTTTATCATGCATTTCTGAATTTTAGGGTTAAGGTTAGGGTTTAGGGTTTATTGTTAGGGTTAGGTTTAGGGTTAGGTTTAGGGTCAGGGTTAGGTTTAGGGTTAGGGTCAGGGTTAGGGTTAGGGTTAGGTTTAGGGTCAGGGTTAGGGTTAGGTTTAGGGTTAGGTTTAGGGTTAGGTTTAGGGTTAGGGTTAGGTTTAGGGTCAGGGTTAGGGTCAGGGTTAGGTTTAGGGTTAGGTTTAGTGTCAGGGTTAGGTTTAGGGTTAGGTTTAGGGTCAGGTTTAGGGTTAGGTTTAGGGTCAGGGTTAGGTTTAGGGTTAGGTTTAGGGTCAGGTTTAGGGTTAGGTTTAGGGTTAGGTTTAGGGTTAGGGTTAGGGTTAGGTTTAGGGTTAGGTTTAGGGTCAGGTTTAGGGTTAGGGTTAGGGTTAGGTTTAGGGTTAGGTTTAGGGTTAGGGATAGGGTTAGGTTTGGGGTTTAGGGTTTAGGATCCAGGTTAGGGATTTGCGCCATCAAATTTTTGCTCATTTTTCAAAAATTTCAAAAAAAAAAATTCAAATTTTACTCGTTTTTTACAATTTTTTTTTAAAAATCATTTTTCTTAAATTTCAAAATTTAATAGTTTTTTACAATTTTTTTAACATTACAAAACCAAATTTTTCGTTGTTTTTTTATTTTTTTCCGAAAAAATTTTTTTCTTCCATTTCTTTACATTTTACATTTTCTTTAAAATATTTTTCACAGATTACTATATATTTGTGTGTTTTTCTATCTTGAAAATTAAATTTTCTTGTAATATTGCTTATTTTCGATCTTTCGGTAAGTTTTTTGATAAAACGCATTCTCCCCAACCGTTCCCTTTTTGTACAATACGTGTCTTTGCACTACTTTTTTTTTTGGGTCGGCCGCCATCTTGGTTGACATGATCCGTGACCTTCTCACGGATCATGTCAACAAAGATGGCGGCCATGCTTGGGAAACCCCGGGTACCACTCTCATACTACTTTTTTTTTTGGGTCGGCCGCCATCTTGGTTGACATGATCCGTGACCTTCTCACGGATCATGTCAACAAAGATGGCGGCCATGCTTGGGAAACCCCGGGTACCACTCTCATAATTTACCCTATATTAACACTTGAAGTTAAGATTTTGCCTCAAATAAAAAGGTAAAAATAGGGTCAGAGTTTTTACACCATTGCCATTTCGGACACACTTCTATTATGTGTTGACCATTTTTGTTCCTGAGGTCAATGACGTCAGCAACGAAACTGGTGACAACATGGAAATAAAAGTAGACCCTAAAGTCTAAAGGGCAGGAGTTTGTGGGGGTGGGCGGGTGGGAATGTGAAGCAGCATGCACCAAATATTGAAGTAACTCATATTATTAGACCACAGCCAGATTGATTAGTGTTTCCTAAACTTTTTTAACCTCATATTCACCTAATCAATTAAAAAAATCACGGTGTATAATATTGAATCCATTTATTTCTAAAGCAAGATATTACTTAAAGGTCTAAATCCACAAACCACATTTCAACTTTGGATTAGAAACTAATGGATCATTAGATGAAAAGATGTCATGTCCAATGCCACAGCCTCTTGTAATGTAAATACCATCATAGCACCACATGAGTTGATTTTGGTTAGCGGGCCATCTGCTGTGATATTTTTCTTGCTTTTCACTGGATTAGATTATATTACATAGGAACTAAGATTACCAAAACTAAGTGCTTGTAACTAGAGAAATATGAATGGTGTTGAATTGTAAAACAATAAGTTACAGTGAGTTAAGAATTTGTAACATTTAACACATGACTTCAATACATGGACCTCCAACACCGCTCCAGCTTCAGGGAAAAGTCACCTGCTCTGGGCTCCAAAGCTCTTATTTTAAGTAATAATGCATAAAATTAACAAATTCAACTTCTTTTCTTTTTCTGTGCCTTTTAGACAAGGGGCTGCAGAAGTACGAAGGCAAATTTCTTCTTCGGTTTGCTCAAGTCAGGATTTGAGTAGGAGTGCTAGTGTGCAATCAATAATATTCCATTCACAAAACACACAGGTTATAATTTAATATCATTTTTAAAATGTCTTTCACTTTTCTTATTCTTTTTTTGAAAGACTGCTCTAAAATTTTAAGAACATTTTGTTTGTTTTGTTACAAAACTTTATGTGATTTTGATAGTGCTGGAACATAAAGATTTCTATAATTATAATGTCATATAAGAAGACAATTATACACTCTAGGAGAAT